GCACATGCACACACATGTTTTTCTCTACTCCATCACACAGTAAATTTCCATAAGATTGAGATTAGCTAGACTGGCGTTAGCTCATACCTGTAATCTCAGCACTTTGGGAGGCTGAGGCAAGAGGTTTGATACCAGCTTGGGCAACTTGGCGAGACCTTGTTTCTACAATAAGTCTAAAATTTAGCCAGGTGTGGTGTTGCCTGTCTGTAGTCCCAATTACTTGGAAGGCTGAGACAGAAGAATCACCTGTGCTCAGGTCAAGGCTGCAGTGGCTGTGAGTTTGCCACTGTGCTCTAGCCAGAGAGACAGACTGAGATTCCGACTCAGGAAAAAACCCAACAAAAAAACTACACACATTTAAAAAAAAAAAAAGAAAAAAAAGACTTTAACTACTTGGGCAAAAGGCAGGGTTGTCTCACCCAACAGGTTAAATACTGCAGAGCTAACTGACTGGAGCAACTTCTGATCTACTGGCATCTTAGAGGAAAACTTTTTTACTTCAAGAGTAAGTTGCCTTTGTTCTTCTGTTGCCTAACCTACCTGGTTGTAAAAAAAGATAAGACATTCTGTAATGAGTACTTTTTTTTTTTTTGAGAAAGCAGGATTTATTGTGAGAACAGAAAAAACTCCCACAGCGGGAGGGGACCCAAGTGGGTTGCCAATGAGCACTTTTTTAAAGCATTTTTTTTAGCCTTGAGAATTCCGAACCCACTCAAAACATACCTGAGGACACACCGAGAAAGTTAAGATGAAGAAAGAAAGAAACAAGGGAGAGGAATAATTATGAGAATAATAGTAATTAAGGAAAAGGGGTTGATGGAATGCCGCCTAAAATGGGGTTCTTGTCTCTTGTTGAATCAAACTTCTAATATCTATTTCTGCCCAAACTACTTATCAAATATCACAGTTTAAGAAGAAATTTTCTAGAAAAAAATCTTGTTCAAATCTCCTTTCCCCCTCCCTAAAAACATGTGTGAGTTTGATCTTTAAAAGAAAAAAAGTGCATGTTTTCTGCTTTGAGGGATTTCATGCTGGTCTCTTTAAAATTTGTTTAAGACTCTTAGCTTGGATTCACGGTAACTTGTAAGTGGAGGTGTAAATCAGCCTTTGGATTGAACTTTAGTTTGAACTTATGAACTAAGTACCTTGGAAATGATACTCACCTTAGCACATTTGATTAGGATACAAGGTCAGTGAACGTGGTACCTCCTGCTCCTGTGGAAGTTTGCTTGTCATTTTTCGTGTTAAACAATGATTCAGACACATTAAAATTACCTTCAGGATCCTGAGGCTTCCTGAAGTGAGGGGCTATTTGTTCAGTATTGTAACAACACCTTTATCAGTTTAGTTGTTCTGAGGACTGTAGAGAAACAAACACTAGGAGGTGCCTTGTGAATGACTTAAACTGGGAAACTCTTGCTTTCTCCCTTCCTCCTCCTTCAGTAATGTTATGGTTTGCTTTCACCAAAATTGTCATCTTGACCTTATCAATATTGGCCGTATTTCTGAGGCTTTACTTTGATGTTTAATAATAATTCATATTCAAAATCTGTAACAATTTTAGTTCTTAATCGCATTGAGATAATATATTAATACACTCATGGGAAATGGGAGAACCAAAAGGTAGATTCTGGAGACAGTCACTTGACTGATTCTATATCTGTTAATTATGATTCTCTAGAGAGAAAGCATTTGTTATGGAAATAAAACATTTGTTATGGAAACCAGGAGTTAAGAATTAGGACAAGAAATTGGCTCTTTTGTTTGGTTTTTTCTAACCAGACTCCCTACTCCTTACATCAAAAATCTCAATCTTCCAGTAACATTATGTTGTATACCATAAAAATACACAATACAATTTATTAAAAAAAAAATCTCATCATCAACTTTCAGAAAATAATACAAGAACACCTTATACAACCATCCTCGTACATAAGGTTTAGGGAGGTTTATGGTTATTTTCTTTCCCTGCTGAAGAGGAACTGATCTTCAAATTTGTTCTGACAAACTAATTTCTAGTAGTTTTATTTTGCTTTCACTTTTTATTTGAGAAATGATATGATAATTGAATGAAAGAAAATCAGAAGATCAAAAATATGTAATGGACATGGAAATACAAATGTTATTTGATATTTTCCAATTTCCTAAGCTTGTACTTGCTTGTTTTTGTATATCTCAACTTATAATGTGTATTTTATTTTACTTAGTATTTTAGGCAAACATCTTTACCTGTTGCTTCATTATCTTTATAACTAGTTCAGATATCTTCATAAATTTTCTCAAGCTGACACATAGTATTTAAGCATTTCTTATCATTGGGTATCAAAATTGTTTTTATTTTTTTTATTTCATAGATGCCACAACACATACTGGTGAATACTACATATGTGAATATTTTCACATAGCTATATACTTTTTATTGCAAAATAATTTTGGAGTTATCCTCATAGAAGGAATTCCTGGTGCAAAGGATTTAGCTAGCATGTATTCTGGTGATAAAATTCCTTTACAACAGGAATAAGAGTTTAATTTAAATAGGATTCTAGATGCATTCAGATTTTAAACTTCTACATTTATTTTGAGAGAAAATGATCTTTTTAAAAAATGGATGCTAATGACTAGCTTTAGGAAGACTTTGAGATCAGCCGACTTCTAGCCTAGATACTGCTGAAGACACGTTGTGTGGTTGGTCTTCCAGGGCTGACTTCTCGGTAAGTTCATTGCTGAGGCTTGCACAATATAGTAGACTTAGCAGGAGTGCTTTAAGAAGCAATTATCCACACAGTTGGCAAGGAGAACACTTAAAAAGATAACTGTAATAAGTATAAATTGAACACAGACGTTAGGAATACTAGGTGGAGAGATAAAAGTCAGGCATTCATTATGTCGTGTTAAATTAGGTAAGATTTTCGAGGAAGATGTGGTTCTATCTCAGGTGGTCTATTTAAATAATTCAAGTTCTCTATTAGATACTAAAAATAATATGAAGATGCTTTTTTAGATGCTACCTTCTAGGTCTATCCCCAGTTTTGTGCCAATTCTGCACCCCAAGGCTTTGTCTCTAATTTAAACTAAAGAAGAGATATTTTGCTCAGTCAATTTTCAATGATAGAAGTGTCCATTCCTTTTTAAAACTTTCTGGGGACAAAGATCCTTTCAGTAGGTTCATTCTGCCCCATGTTTTTCCTATGTAAAATGATCATGTGGAAATAGATTTGAATGTTAATTTCAATAAGCATAGCCTACTCCTTTCTTGAGATGTGAGGAAAGCCACTCCTGCATTCCATTTCCTTCCCTCACTCCTGCCATTCAGGTATTGGTATTGGTAGTTGGTATTTAAAAGAAATGAATATTCCATTATATTCCACCATATTACATTAGATGAAGATTTTCTAGGGTCTGAGTAAGGACATGCATAAGAGTTTAAACTATGAAAATCTATAGCTATTTTACATGCTCTAAACATGAGAAAAATATTCATTATCTTCAGAACATGAGACTGTAATAGTTCTTAAGATTTCATTTTATCCTGATTATGTTGTTTGCTTTAAAGTCATTTATTTTTCAGCAGTGGGAATGACTGGATAATTTGCTATGGCAAGGACACACTTTCCTAGAATGAATGGTATAATTCTTGTACCCTCACATATCCGTATACTCAAAATCTAATTTTTTTTTTTTTTTTTTGAGTTGGAGTCTCTCTCTGTTGCCTGGACTGGAGTGCAGTGGCCGCTCCCGGCCACCGCAGCCTCGATCTGCTGGGCTCCGCGATCCCTCCACCTCAGCCTTCCGAGTAGCCGGAATTACAGGCGCGCGCTACCATGCCTGGCTGATTTTTTGATTTATTGTAGAGATGAGGTCTTGCTGCCCAGGCGGATCTCGAACCCGCGGGCTCAGGCAATCCACTCACCTCAGCCTCCCAAAGGCGCGGGATTACAGGCTGAGCCACTGAGCCCGGCTAAAAATCTAATTTTTTAAAAGTTCTAGTTTCTTCCTAGAATCACAGAACATTTAAATATGTCTTCTTGTAGATAATTTTGAAATACCAAATGTTGAATAATACATAGTTGAATTTCTTGTCTGTGACTCAGACCATTCTATTGAATCATTTTTGTTGTCTAATACAGTGACAGTATGTGTTGTAACACATCACTTTGTGACAATCAGAATGGCAACACAATCCCACTTATCAGACACCATAAAAAGGACCAAAATCCATATATTTCTATTCTTAAGTGCTAGAAAGAATCCTTTTAGTAGAAATTATGAAGAAGTAAAATGGTATCACTGTTAAGATTTGATTGAGCAGTGTACCAAAGAACACTTCAACTTGTTTTGTAGGAGGTTTTGGTTTATTCAATAGGTTCAAGCAGACTTTTGACTTATTACCTCTGGCAGAAGTGACTTTTCCCTTCTTACTGTTCCCTTTCCAAAAAAAGATAAAATTGTATAATTTCATGAGGAATTATTTTCAAAATTTGGTAGACCACTATTAAGTAGTCTTTTAGGAAGCAATAAACAAGAAAGAGAGGTTCAATTTGGAATTTATTTTTATTCTGTGGATGTTTGCTAAGGCATTGCTTGGTACAGCATTCTGCACACCTCAGTAAACAAAAAGACAAAATAGCTACAATCACCTCTCTGTAGGCTTTGTAGAGATTTGGGAAGAGAGACTAATGTTAACTATTATAAAATTTGTATCATAAGAGAAAATAATCTTATTGAGAACTTGGTAAGGCTTCTAATCTTTATTATGAAATGCATCATAATAATATATTCTATATTTCTTTTTTTAGTTATAAATGATGCAACTTTCAAAATATTACTGAAACATGGAACAAGAATGATATTTAAATGTAACACAATCATTATATCTCTTTATCCATCAATGTGACTTCATATCATTCTCTTTGGTCTGTGCTCATATCTTGCATCAAATATTGGGTAAACCAAAGGGTATAGGAAGAAATACGAGCTTTTCATAGTTATAATTCTTTACAATGAGAGTGCTAATATTCAAGCACATCTTTTTTGGAAACTTCGTTGATTTCAACAGAGGATTCCAGACAGTGTTCATCTTCCTTCTGATTCCATGCTGCTTGACTCAGAATTTCTCAGCACCTCCTGTTATCCGGGATGTGCCCTTCCTCTGGGCCTGGAATGCCCCAACTGAATTTTGTCTTGGAAAGTTTGGTGATCCACTAGATATGAGCCTCTTCTCTTTAATGGGAAGCCCCCGACAAAACGTCACAGATCAAAGAGTTACAATATTTTATGTTGATAGACTTGGCCTCTATCCTTTTTTAGAGCCAGGAACACATGCAAATGTGAATGGAGGAATTCCCCAGAATGGATCTTTGAAAGACCATTTGGTCAAAGCTGAGAAAGACATTTCTTATTACATTCCAACAGACAAATTGGGATTGGCTGTCATTGACTGGGAAGAATGGAGGCCCACTTGGGCAAGAAACTGGAAACCTAAAGATATCTACAGAAATCGGTCAATTGTGTTGGTTCAGCAACAAAATGCACATCTTAATCTCACAGAAGCCACTGACATAGCCAGACGAGAATTTGAAAAGGCAGGAAAGGATTTCATGCTAGAGACTTTAAAACTGGGCAAATCACTTCGGCCAAATCAGTTATGGGGTTATTATCTTTTTCCTGATTGTTACAATCATAATTATAATAAACCCGGTTTCAATGGAAGTTGTTCATATATAGAAAAGAAAAGAAATGATGAACTCGACTGGTTGTGGAAGGAAAGCACTGCCCTTTACCCATCCATTTATTTAAACACCAGACAGACTCCTCAACAAGCTATGCTCTTTGTGCGTAATCGAGTTCAGGAAGCTATTAGGATGGCCAAATTACCTGATGCTAACAATCCACTTCCGGTTTTTGTATATACCCGCCTGGTTTTTACTGATCGAGTTTTAAACTTCCTTTCTCAGGTAAGTAAATTAAGGTATAAGGGCTGTGAAGTAGCATCCACACAAGGTGTTGAGTAGGATTTATTTATTTATTTTTATTTTTTATTTTTAGAAAGCAGGATTTATTGAAAGGACAAAAAAACTCCCACAGTGGGAGGGGACTCGAGGGGGTTGCCCTGTTCAGTGGAATTTAATATTGCTTTAGAAGTGAGTGAAATTCAGCTTTCAATATCATTTAAGAATGTACACATGAGGTAGTTCAGCAACATTGTATGAATGCAGAGTAAGAATATGTTTAATCTTTACAGTAATCACATGGTCTCTTAGTAAGCATGGAGAATTAGATAGTATAGACAGTGTATTAATTCAGTATCTTTTTTATTTCATAAGCATGCTCTCTTGTCAACATAAGTAATTAAAACAATAATTGCCTCTATTTTTTATAGTAAGGCAATGACTATATATAAAAGATAGAAATAAATTAATATTGTTGGGTCAACATGCTTGGCTTTGATGTTACTATCCTATGCATAATGCTTTCATTTTATTTTTATCTATTCTTTCTATCACATTTGCCAGGAAGACCTTGTGAATACATTTGGTGAAACTATTGCACTGGGTGCCTCTGGAATTGTAATATGGGGAAGTCTTACTTTAATGCGAAGTATGGTAAGTTGAATTGATAGGAATTAGATGAAAATACTGCTCCCTTTAATGTTTTTGAGGAGTGTACTGACATTGACTAAGAAAATATGTAGTACTATGCTTGGCATGTAGTAGGAGGTGCTCAATTAATACTGGCTCAATCAAAATACATTTGTGTGGTTATTGTAAGGCAGAAAATGTGTATCTGTTCCCCAGTGAGGAAACAAACATTCAGTGAGAGTAACTGAATTTCTCTGGGCTACGTGGCTCTTATATGGCAAAAACAAGACTACAGATGCTATTTTTAGACATGGTGTTTGGTATCATAAGATAGGTCTTCCTTTATTTTCATTCTTGTTTAATTCTCTATATCAATTCTTCATTCCCTTCATCAGGGTTATCTATACAAGAGACAGTTCTTCAACTTTAATATAACTATTTTCTACTTATTAGTACTATGTCAAATTGTCTCATATACTTTGTTGTATATGTTTCTGCTACCTTTCCCAATTTATAATCATTTCAAATACTAGATCTATCCAAATGCTAGATTGATTACGTCCTCTTTTGTTCTGTGTCATTGTAATTAATCATCATAGATTACTTGTAATGTTTCCTCTGGTTCATTGACAACTTGAGAAACCAGCAATTGCAGTTCTACTTGCAGTTACTGGAACTGACCTAAAACAAATGTAAGTAAACCATTTCTTTTCATTTTATGTTATTAGATCTAGTGGTGTGATGGAGCCAGCCCTACTAATCTCAGCTTGTAAGACCTGATTGTTAAATATTCAGGAATTTTGTGAGCCAGTTGTTAAGCACAGGTATTATTAAAAATTAAATTATAAAGATGTATAATAAAAAATTATGTTAAAAACCAAGGCAATACATTCTCAACATATCAATTATTTCATTTTATTGTTTTTCATGCTTTTGAGATTATTTACATCTATCATATCTGTATAAATGGAAATACCCTGTAATGATGTACTACTCCACGCCACACTACCATCGTGTGTAATGGTGGTGCACTTGATTTCCAACCTTACATTCAGTAATGTCAGGCTAGTAACTCAAAATTGACCATAGTAGGAGTGGTTACACCATGGATATATATACAAAAGATATAAACTAGGCTTTATCTATTAGAAAACCAGTTTTAATATCTTACCATAGACTACATCTTGTGTAGACTAATGATTCTCAAATCATTCTCATCCCTTTACTCCTCATTTGGCCTTATACTTGTCTCTGTGGAGTCAAGCAAGCACTGCAATGTTATCCAAGCTTGGTCTAAATTCTCATATCCTTGGTTCTTCAACATAGTGTTGAAGAATACTGACAGAGTCCATGTACACTTGGAGCTAATGAGTGCTTAAAACAATATATAAGCAAGAAAAAACATTTGATGTGATAAATACTATACAGAGAATTAAAATAGAGAGGTGTGAGAGAGTAGCCAAGAAAAATACCTGGAAAGGGCATTGCCTAATTTAAAGCCTCTATCTTCATGACAAAATGAAGTCAACCATGTTGAAAATTGGAGGGAAGAGCATTCCAACCAGAGGGAACAATGAATGTAGTTTGAAATGAACCTGCAATGCTAGTGAAATTTTAACATTGTCTAAAATAGAATTGGAATCAGGGCAGGGAGTTGTTGTATAAGAAGAAGAAGGGAATCTTCCATGTCAAGCTGTGTACAAGTTAAGAGAAGTTGAATTTTAGCCCAAATACCATTCAAAGCCATTGAGAGCTAAGAAGATGAATAGTGTTATTAGTCTTCTGATGTTGCCCCCCAAATAGTAACAAACTTAGTGGCTTAAAAACAAAAAATGTATTATCGTATAGTTCTGTAGGTCAAAAGTCTAACATGGCTCTCAGTGGGTTAAAATAAAGGTTTTAGTAGGTTGGCTTTCTAGGGAAGCCTTCTCACTTACTCATTTGGGCTATTGACAGATTCAGTTCCTTGAGTCTGTAGCAATGAGATCTCCATTATCTGCCTAGCTGTTGGCTAAAGGCCACTTAACAGCTTTTAGAGACCAGGACATTCCCTTAGCTCACGGCCCTCTTCTTCTTTCTTCAGAGTCAGCAAAGGTGGGTTCAGCCTCTCTTACAGTTTCATTCTCTCCTCCTTCTTCCATTTCATCTTTCTCACCCCACTAAGGAAGTCTCTACATGTTCAAGGACTCATGTAATTAGATTGAGCCCATCCAGAGAGTTCAGGATGATCTCTCCTTGTCAAAGTCCATAACCTTAACTGCATCTGCAAAGTTCCTTTTGCCATGTAGGCTAACATTGTCACAGATTCCAGGGTACTAGGGTGTGGATATCTTTGGGAAACAGTCATTCTCCCAACAGTAGATGATATCATCTCAAGAAAGGTATTCAAGGAATAGATTTAAGTGGATGCTGCCAAGATTCCTTGACCTGCCTGCTGATCTATCACCCCCACTTCCTTTGGTCGGCTGAAGGACTAGCATGGCTGACTTACTGTGTGGAACTGTTGATCATAGAAAAAAGTGATTACCTTCAGTATTTGTAAAAGGATAATGTCCAGGTTTTAGAACACTAATCTCAAGATGAATCATTTTAGTTACCCATTACCCATACGCTGCCAAATTTACAGAAGAGCTGTCATTATTCACCTATAACTTGACTATATGTAATGTGTAATATAAAGTATACTCAGTTGAACCTGTTTAGTTATTTGGTGCCAGCAATTTAGAAATCACTCTTTTCATGGTTGTTTAAGCTTTTATGACAAATGTGCAAGAAAATTACATTTATGTTTACATATTACATTCATTTATAATTTATTGAAGGTCAACTGAAGATATGCCAGGCCCTATGCCAAGCACTTTTCCATGTATTGTGCTTTTTCATTTTCACAACAACCTTATGAGACAGGTGCTATAATTATTCTTATTTTCCTGATGATGAAGCTGAAACATAACCAGGCTAATTAATTTGCCCAAGGTCACCCAGATAGAAAACTAAGACTTTAAAAGTCTAAGAGATTTCCAGGTCCATACAGCTAGTCATTAATGGAATTCAGACTCCAGTCAGAGCTGATGAACCCCAGAGACCATACTCTAACAGGAATACTAGTCTATCACTTCATTAGCTTATGAATTATGGAGGTAGAACAAGGTTAGTGTATGTTAAGCACAACTGATCAATTATTGTCGCATAAAATGACACATAAAACGTATGTTACATAAATGTTACAAAAAACAGCTGGAATAATCTTGCTTGTTAACATAAAATCTTAGGATAAAATATTTTCTATTTTTTGCTATGTCTGTTTTTTCATTTTTCTTAAACATCGCTTATTGCAGTGAGTTTACTCACATATGAATGACCTTCTCCTTTAATATTCTGACCATCTTATAATTTTACAGAAATCTTGTTTGCTCCTGGATGATTACATGCAGACCATCGTGAATCCTTACATAATCAACGTCACTCTGGCAGCCAAAATGTGTAGCCAAGTGCTTTGCCAGGAGCAAGGAATATGTATCAGGAAACATTGGAATTCAAATGATTATCTTCACCTGAACCCAAAGAATTTTGATATTCAAATTGGGAAAAGTGGAAAGTTCACAGTACTTGGAAAACCCTCAATTGATGACCTGCAGCAATTTTCTCAAAAATTTTCTTGTAGCTGTTATACCAACTTGAATTGTAAAGCCATCTCTAATGTACAAAACATTACTTTTATTGATGTATGTATTGCCGACAATATTTGTATAGATACCTTTCTACACCCGGATCCTAATGAGCCTTTCAGGTGGATAGAATCTTCATCTACTTCCTACAACATATCGTCCTCCCCAGCATCTGTCACAGTGCACGTTGTTAATGTTTTGTTTCTTACCATGAGTTCTGCTGTAGTAAATTTGTAATTCTACATGTTAACTTAAATGAACAATATATCCATTTTAAAGTATGCGATTTAGATTAATTAAATCTCTAAAAAGAACATCTCCTGCTGAGAAGTCATTTTTGGAAAATTCTTTCTGAATTACTATGCCTAGTAAATGGCGGTTTCCTTTGAACCTGACAAACACTGGAATTGTTATGGTCTGAGTAAATGCTCGGCTGCTATCTCTCGACGCCAATAAATTGAGAGGCAGGGAACTAGAGAAAGAAGTTCATTTCTGAATTTAGAATTCAGGGAGACAGAACCCAGCTCCTGATTTTTCTGGAACAGTTCTGCTCGCCACTTAGGTTTTACAGTCCGTTTTTATAAGTTTAGGATTGCTGCTACCTATACATTGACTACATGACTGACAGACAATTGTATAGAACTCAAGTTACAGCTGCATTTTGTTCACAGTAACATTTATGGCCCACATTTCCTGGTGTGGGCTACCAGAAGGTAGCTCACAGTATTCTCAGTAATACCAAACTGAAGAGTTGATTAAGCTTGCCATAGAGTAAAGAATTAACAGAGCCTATTACTAAGAAAAACATTATTTACTACAACATGCTGTTGATTAGGTTACAACACACAAAAAGTTATATGAATTATAAATTTATACTTACATGGGTGCTATATTTTCAGATCAATACCACCGATAAAGGGAGTGAATAGGGATTCACTTCTCTCAGTTGAGTGAGTGCAGTCTGCAGGGGTTAAGGGTTCTTTGAAGTGACTTAACAGGTAATGTGTAGGAGATAAGGGAATATGTTTTCTCTTGATAATCTTCAGAAACGGAGGTGCATGCAGACCCACTAGAACATTATTCCATTCTCTAAGGGTTGTGGCATATGGACAGATAATAGTGTGTTGCTGTACCAGAATCTTGTATGATTTCTCACCCATGAGTTGAGTTAAGAATTTGTCTTCACCCGCGCCTTTGGGAGGCTGAGGTGAGTGGATTGCCTGAGCCCGCGGGTTCGAGACCCGCCTGGGCAGCGAGACCTCATCTCTACAATAAATCAAAAAATCAGCCGGGCGTGGTAGCGCATGCCTGTAATTCCGGCTACCTGGAAGGCTGGGGCGGAAGGATCGCCAGAGCCCAGCAGGTCGAGGCTGCGGTGGCCGGGAGCGGCCACTGCACTCCAGTCTGGGCGACAGAGTGAGACTCCAACTCAAAAAAAAAAAAAAAAAAAGAATTTGTCTTCCAGGAAATCAATGGCTTGCTTACATTCTCCAGTTTTAGACTATCCAAATTCATTATATCTGTTTCCTTTATAAAACTGCCAGGATTGTTTTAATACCATCATTCTGCACAAGATACATTTTGTAAGATTAACATTTGACATGGTGTGGTTAAGAATTTGAAAGTAAAAACTTACTAGTAAAACCAAGCTATAGGATTTAGAGAAGATTTAGAGAATATTTCTAAAATTACTCTTTTCTTCTCTGCTTACAGTCAAGAGAAAGGGGGAGAAGGAAAGGAGGATGGGTGTGAAAGAAGAAAACAAAAGGAGGGAAGAGATAACGGACAATGACTAGAATCCTTTGCTTTCTCTGGTGTCATTGAAGATTCTAATTTGCACAGGATTGAATGGAGTATCTGTGGCATGCACAATTAGCCTTCAACTCTCTGTTAAAGCCAAGAGCAGTTGTACTTGAATACCTTTCCTGCTCTGACCCATACAAATATCACTGCTACCTCCTTCCTCTCCCCTTGCCTCTGACTTCCTTTTAGAAACAAGAAGAGATGAAGCCACAAAGTGGTTTGGGATATGCCTGATGCACAGTTTGCTAGGAACTCTCAGATTATGATACAATTAATGTGAGCAAGATCTTAAAAACTCTTTGTGGCATTACATTTTCTGTGAATATTCACGATAGCAAAAACATGGAACCAACCATGCTGCCCATAGAAACTGGAATGGATAAAAAAAATATGGTACATATACATGATGGGATATTATGCAGTCATAAAGAAGAACAAACTTATGGACTTCATTGATTCCATATCTTGGTTATTGTGAATAGTGCTGCAATAAATATGGGACCAACTTGGATGGATTTAGAGTCTATGATATTCAGGGATCCATCACAGAAACAAAGAGCTGAGTACCACATGTTCTCACTCATAAGCAGACCCTAAACATTTACCATAATACTTTAAGAAAGGGATTGGCAGGAGCAGAATGCTGGCAGGGAAGAGAGATGGGTCACATAATATCAAAAAGGTACCTGATCTCAAACCAGGCGAAGTGGGGACCAAGGGGAGGCCCAAACTTACCTGTATGATGACCACTTGTATACTTAATCCTGAATCTTACAAAAAAAAATTCCATGAGGTAAAAGGAAAATCTTTACTTGTCACAGACCTCATTTCTTTATGTTTAAGCTTTGTTTAATATCAGAGTTGAAGCCAGGCTTGGTGGCTCAGCCTGTAATCCCGCGCCTTGGGAGGCTGAGGTGAGTGGATTTCCTGAGCCCGCGGGTTAGAGACGCGCCTGGGCAACTTGGTGAGACCTCATCTCTGCAATAAATCAAAAATTAGCCGAGTGTGGTAGCGCGTGCCTGTAATTCCTGCTATTTAGAAGGCTGAGGCGGAAGGATCACCAGAGCCCAGGAGGTCAAGGCTGCGGTGGCCAGGAGCGGTCACTGCACTCCAGTCTGGGCGACAGAGTGAGACTCCAACTCAAAAAAAAAAAAAAAAAAATCAGAGTTGAGATGGAGTTGCAAAGTGCAATAAAAATGATACAAATTATTATGTTTTAAGCTCCAATAATTTTTTAAAAGTTAAAATGCTTGTATAGTCTTTTGCATTATGCTATGTTTAAATCTTTTTTATTCTTTTTTCCCTTTTATTTTTAGTTGACATATACCAATTTTACATTTTTTTGGAGTACAGAGTGTCATTCTGTAGACAATGTATAGTGATAAGATCAGGATAATTAGGATCATTATCACCTCAAATATATATCATCACTTTGTGTTGTGCACATCGAAAATCCTCTCTTCTAGCTTTTGAACTTATACAAAATTGTTAACTATATTCACTCTACAGTGCTATAGAACACTAGATCTTATTCCTCCCATCAAGCTGTAATTTTGTATGTGTTAACCAACTTCTCCCTATCCTTCTCTCCCCCATCCTTTCCACCATCCTCTAATAACCATAATTCTACTTCTATGAGCTCTATTTTTTTTTTTTGCTCCCATATATGAGTGAGAACATGTGATATTTGTCTTTCTGTTCCTGGCTTATTTCACTTAACAAAATGTCCACCCAGCTTCATCCATGCTGAGAATGACAGGATTTCATTAGTTTGTATGGCTGGCTTGTATTCCATTTTATACCATATTTAGTTTATCCGATCTTTGTTGATGGACATTTAGGTTGATTCCATATCTTGGCTATTGTGAATAGTGCTGCAATAAATATGGGAGTGCAAACATGTCTTTGATATACTGATTTTCTTTCCTTTGTATAAACAACCAGTAGAGGGATTGCTGGATTATATGGTAGTTCTAGTTTTCGTTTTTTGAGAAACCTTCATACAATTTTCCATAATGGATTAATTTACATTCTCACCGAGTTCCCTTTTTTTCACATTCTCACCAGCATTTTCTATTTTTTGTCTTTTGATAATAGCATTTCTAGCTGGAGTGAGATGATATCTCACAGTGGTTTTGATTTGCATTTATCTGATGATTAATGATGCTGAGTATTTTTTTCATACACTTGTTAGACCCTTGTGTGTTTTCTTTTGAGAAATGTCTATTCAGTTCGTCCTTTTCCCATCTTTTTTTTTTTTTTTTTGACTGGGTTATTTGCTATTGAGTTCCGTGTAGATTCTGGATATTAGTCTCTTGTCAGATGATCAGTTTGCAAATATTTTCTTCCATTCTACAGGTTGCCTCTTCATGCCATTGATTATTTTCCCTTTGCTATGCAGAAGCTTTTTAGCTTAATAAGGCCCAGTTTATCTACTTTTGTTTTTGTTGCCTGTGCTTTTATAGTCTTACCCAAAAAATCTTTGCCCAGCCCAATGTCCCGAAACATTTTTTCAATGTTTTCTGATAGTAGTGTTACAGTTTCAGGCCTTAACATTTAAATCTTTAAGCCATTTTGAGTTGACAATTTTTTTATACTAAAAAGTCATTGCTGCACAGGGCAAATTAATATAAAGTGGAAAAATAAAAGTCCCTTTACCTCCTCCCTCTACCGGTGGCAACTCCTGGTTACAGTTTCTTATATATAGTTCCATACAGTTTTTTAGGTATATGGATGCAAATGTGTGTGTACATATTTATCACAAATTGGACTATGGTGTCCATAACTTTCTATAACTTGTTTTTTCCACATGGCAATATATTTTTGTTATCTGTTCATATCAGTATATCTTGGTACTAACCACACCTTACTCCACTGTTCTACTGTATGGCAATTTTAAAATAAATTTCTTGTTAATGAACATTTTATTTTCTGGAGTATTTTTTGGCCCTATCAAAAATTTGGTATCATGTATAGTATCATATAATATATATTATATATATGTATATATGCATGTTATATATATATATACACATACACACACACACACACACACACACACATATATATGACATATATGAGCACACTTTTGCCAGGATGAAATGAATTTGCTGATATGAAGGGTATATACATTTTAATATAGATAGATATTGCAAAATTATCTTCCAAACATTTTGTTTCAGTTAATGATCTCACTAGTAGTGAATGGGAGGGCTGATTTCCCTCATCAACACCGGGCTTTTTAAAAGTCTGGAGTCATTGTTCATCTGATTGGTGAAAATAGCATCTTGTATTAACTTGGCTCTGAAACTAGTATTTACTTTTTCATAGCTTGTTATGGATATCTTGTCTTTCTTGCCAAGTCACTCTCTTTTTAAGAGTAAACTTTGTTTTCTCATTTATACTTAAATTCTACCTTTGAAGACTGTTGTCCT